GTTTCCATTCCCATCACCCACATGGTGTCTCACCACTGTCTGTAACTCTACCTCCAGGGGATCTGACACCCTCACACAGACATGCAGGCATACAAAATACCAATGCATTTGGAAATAAATAAATCATTAAAAAAGAATTGTTAAGAAAGAAAGAGGTCGGGCGTTGGTGGCGCACGCCTTTAATCCCAGTACTCGGGAGGCAGCGGATCTGTGTGAGTTCGAGGCCAGCCTGATCTCCAGAGCGAGTGCCAGGATAGGCTCCAAAGCTACACAGAGAAATCATGTCTCGAAAAATAAAAAAAAAAAAAAATAGAATAAAATAAAATAAGGAAGGAAGGAAGGAAGGAAGGAAGGAAGGAAGGAAGGAAGAAATCTACCCTAAGCGGGAGAGGAGGCTATAGGAGGCAAGTGACCACACTCACCGTGAGGCAGTTGTAGGTGAGAAAATCGGAGACAGCATAGCCCCCCTTGGTGGGGTGTGGGGACAGGGTAGAGTTTCCGAAGAGGCCGGGTAGACTAGGGGCGGTCGTGATGGTCTGGGGTCCCACATAGAGGTTCTGGGCTTCTAGGCCAGTGAGCCGTCGGAGGCTGTAGGGAACCTACAGAAGGAGACACCAGAGACAGAGATGAGGTGGGCACCCCAGAGCCAGCTCTGCCTAAAGCCCGCCTTGGATTTTGTGGGAATGGGACCACCAGCCTAAGCCACTCATATTTGCCTTCAGGCCTTTGTGGCCCCTCCAACTCCCCTCCCCAGGCTCTCTTCTGCTCCTTCTTGCTGAGGAGACCACAGCCAGTCCTGAGGCACCTTTCCCTCCCGCATGGCATCTCAGGCTTGTTCCCCTTTTCCCAAAAGGAGGTGGGCCCATCCTCACCTCCAGGAAGTCAGCCAAGATTTATCCCTCTGCCTGGACTCCCATGGGGCAGGACCAGAAGCAGCTGTCTGTTCCCACCCGCCCACATCCCCCTCTCTGCCCTCACAGGGCACACCTGAGCCCTCACAGGTCCTTAGCTAGCGCCATGCATGCAGAAGGCGCCTGTCATTTGGCTCGCGCCATGCATGCAGAAGGCGCCTGTCATTTGGTTAACGAGTGGTGTCTAGCGGCATGGCCTCTGGAGTGCAATGCGAGTGCCTCCCCTTGCCCATGTGACCTCGGGTACCACTTAGCCTCTTTGCGCTGAAGTGAACCCCTGCTAAGTGACGCCCCTTCTGGCCACACAGTACCTTGGCCGCCAT